CTGTTTGGAACAATTTTTCTGCTTTGTCACAACAGCCAATCACCATAGATTGCTTTGGGGTTAACACAGGGTAAACTGGTTCCCCATTACAAACAAGCTGATTGGTTGAAAATGAGCAACTTGCAATTTTTTTGGAAAAGAAGGAAAATGTCGCATGTCTTTCTTTCAGTAGTAAACCAGGCAGAAAAATTGTCTGAAACAGTTGTTCATGTAAAATAAACGCCGGTGTGATATGGGCCTTAGAGAGACATAAATGAATGACTTAAGCAATATTTTGGCATATCATCCGGTTTCACACATATTTGAAAATACCTTGAGGCGAGATCTATCATCCTCATGTATTTTGTTGACTTAATCTTTTTAATTATTTCTTCAATCATGGGCATTGGATAAATTGGATATATAGTTGCACTAATTGATTTTTGATAATCAGCTGCAAAATGCTATGCTTTATGGTCCATCGGTGGGAGATTATTCTTTTTCTTGCATAGTACTACCGGGCTAGCATAGGGCTGCTTATGGTAATAATAATTTTATTATTTAATATTTTCTTAGATGTGTTTTTAAAATATTTCTTCTTTAACTATATCATATCATCAGGGCCTTGGTCGACAGGGAGGGCTATTTCCTGTGTCTCTGCTATGGTTTATGATTTGTGTTAATGCTAGTGCTTCATCAGAGAAAATAATAAACTCTCTTACCAACTGATCCATATTCAGTTTTTCTTCTTGCTTTGATCTTTTAAGTCCACACCTGGAGGCTGTATTTCTTTCTCTTCTACTTTATTCATGCCCAGTTGCACTGTCATTTTCTAAAAATTAATTTTCATCTCCATTGCTTTTAAAAAGGCCCGTTTCCAAAATGACTGGTGCCTGAAGGTATTTCACAACAAAGAAAACCACTTTTTGGTTCTAATTTTTCACCTGTACATTTAGTGTGACCCTTTCTATACATTCAAATTGTTTGCCTTGGGTGGCAATAACCCTTGTTCCTTCAATACCAACACTCTTTACCATTTAAAAAATTTCTTCTAAAATTTCTTTTTTACTTTGCATTCCTGTATCCAACAATGCATTCTCTTGTATATTGTTTAAAAGAATTCGAATGACTTGCAGTATCAAATTTTTTATTGTTACCAGTGGCGGCTCATGGCTAAAATTAGTTGGGGTGCTGTTCCAAAAAAATTTAACCTTTAAAAATTGTCTAAAAGGATTGGATTGGATTATTTAATTAATGGCAAAGCACACGAGGGCTATCTGCCTAAAGGATACACGAGGGATATCTACCTAGAGGGATGCCTTCGTGAAGGATTTTCTAAGGGGAACTGGCTCGTATACATGTTACAATGGGGAAAACCATGAAAACGCCCATGCAGCCAGCCTGTTTGCGGGATTCGAACCTCGGATGGAACTACCAGTGTTCTGCGTCTTTACCTCTCGGCCGCTGGTGGGCACAATTGTCTAAAAGGAAACAAACATGTATAAAAAGAAAATTTATTTTGAAATTTCATGAAATCTTGCAAGAAAAAAATTAAACATTGCCTAATTACTTTAACTAAAATTGTTACAGTTCAATCTGTGTCTATTCATTTAAAAATAAAATCTATTCTTCTTATTTTAATTTGCGAGAAAAGAATAATTTTCTCCTTGATCTCTGGATGACAACTGAGGAAATTTTTCTTTATTGAAAGCAATGCAAGTGCATTTAGTCTTTCTGAATTCCTAGTGCTTCTTAGAAAACTTTTCATTCTTTTCAATGTTGAAAAGAAGCATTCTGCCTCTAATGTAACTCTCAAGAGAATTTTTATCTGTTTCGTAATTTCATTAAGAACATATCTAGATTATTTTTGAAGATAAATTTCAGTAGCTCAATTAATTTGCAGTATTCATTTTTCAGACTTCATTTTTATAGACTTTTCTTTGTCAATCATTGGATATGCTTCAGTGGTCAGTACTATTTCTTCTGTAGAATGTTCATTCCTAAAACTAGCAAAGCATTTCTTGTTTAACAATTTAGCAGCTGCTCAGTGTTTAGTGGAAGAATATCTGTGCATTATATCGATACATAGTATAAAGTCACATATTTTCTTAGCTTCTGCCATCAGTGTCTTTGAAAAAATCTCCCAGTATTCTGAGTTTCTTAATTCTAAAATAGCAGTTTTGAAATATGTTACATATTCATTAACTTTAAACACACTAATTTCTCTGGATTGCATTTAGTTGTATATTAGTATTTGTACATGAGGCATAAACTGATAAAAAAGCTCTAACCGAAACTTGAAATTATCATCATTTAGATATTTTAAAATTCCTGTTGCTTTTGCAATAGTTTGATCTGCATTTGACGTTGATTGAATTTCAGTAAGGCAATTTTTTAAAGGTTGCAAATTTTCATCAGCTCCGTTTATGGTTCCGTATGGTGAAGTTCCACCTTGTGGAGGAACAGCACATGCACGGAGTAAAAAGAAATCACTACGAATTTCGAACAACACACCAGAATGTTTCCAACAACACACCAGAATTTCAGCACTGCAAGAGCGACAGTGCTCTTCTTTCTACCCGGCTCGCGTGCTGCTTTCTGTGTGCGCATGCGCAGAACAGCCAAACACCACGTCGCTGGAACTGTGGAGCGCGCAGTTCCAAACGAAGAATTTCGTACCTTTTTCACAAAGTAGGGGATGGCTTAAGGATTATGTATTGTAAAAGTATAAAGAAAGAATTAAAGACTAAAGGGCACACTATATTAAATATTAAAAATAATAATAAGTTAAAATAGGGGGTGCTGCAGTTCCACAGTGCTTATTACGAGCCGCCACCGATTGTTACCATATTTAAGTGAGTCCAAGAGGGATTTTTCTCCATCCAAGATGACTGTACTCTCTGTATTCCAGTTCCCTTTATTAGTTAATATTTTTTTCTATCTTCTCCTTAATTCATCTTTTGCGATTTATCTTGGTAATCATTGTTTGCAGGTGAAAATTTCTGTCTGTTCTCAAAACGTTTACTGTCATCAAACCTTGGCCTTCCTTGTGCTATAAGTCTGTGAAAATATCTACTCAACGTCTGCTACTTTCAAACTTCACCATGAGCTCAAACGAATGTTCTAACATGTTTGGGTTTTCAATCCCACAAGGTCCTGAATTTGTAGCAGCAACAATTCCCATTCAAATCCCAGAGAAGTATGGATGTTTGTATAGTATTAGGGACACAGTATCATTGCCATACCAGGCAGTCTCCTTCCATGAGGATTCGTGTATTTGTTTCTATTAGATTTCGATGATAAGTAACAAGAACTAAATGCTTTATAGTCTTAATTTAATTCCATCCTGCTTTAACTGTTTAACAACTTTCTTTTCCTGAGTATTACTGTCTTGAGATGTCTTGTCTTGAGATGGTGAACATTAACATTTGTTTTGCATTTAAATCAGTATTAGAGCCAGAAGCAGTATTCAGTAAAGTTATAATCATGGAGCATTTTGCATAAAGCAAAACCATTTTCAAGGAAATGGAAGATTATAGTCCTGCTGCTATTCCAAGTCCACTGAATTATTGAAAAGTTTACAAATCCAGTAGGTGGTAGTGTATGTTTACTCCTCCCTAGGTACTTGACTGGTACACGATCATCAGTACCTTGATCCTGATCTAAGCTGTTTAGTTGGATGTATGAATTTTTCATTATTGTTTTTACTTCTTTTGTTGGATATTAAATTCACACCATCAATATTATGAAGGTCTAATGTAGTAGTACTTTTTCTGCATTGCTGGTCTTTTTCAAATTTTGTGACCAGTTAACTTAATATTAGTTTTTACAAAAATAGTAATTTACAACCCCTGTCTTCCTTTAAACTATTCCTTTTTTGTTTTATTCTGGTTCAGGAAATATCATCAAATACGAGTAATTGTCAGAAAATACATTTTCTAGTAAAGTGAAATCGATAAAAAAACAAATATTACAAATGTGGGTGAAATAGATTTTTATAAAGCTGACAGTAATACACAGTTAATGGTGACATGAGCCTAGTGTACAAGCTTGTAAATCACCAAAGAAGTGGTAAACAAATTCTTCCAATTTTAACCATAAAATATAAAAGTTTAAATTTATCTGAGGCTCAACTCTTTCTGCATCGGAGACTGTAATTGTAACTGAAAGTGGAAGTAATTAATATGGTTAAATGTATTATGTCATAAAATGTATGAAAGCTTGCTAACGTCATCTTTTACTGTTCTAAGGCTGAAAAAATTTTGTTAAAGTAGTTCATTTTAAAGTTGCCCCAAATTCCATTAAAAAAATTTGTCGCGAATGTCTCTTCACTTTGAGGAAGAGCATCAAGTTTTGCAAAAAGGTTTCAGAATTAAGTTTTGTGAGACTGCAGCTATGAATCACTGACTTAACAGAGTATGAATTATATTTGTAATACCACTTTCCTAAATCATTGTACTTAAACCAGAGAACTTCAGTGGTTGGTTTTGGCTGTGAAAATCCATAATGTACTCAATTTTCGTTTTCATATGTCAATGTTATTTTAGACATTTAATTTTAAATGTTTAATGAAAGATTAAATATTGCAAGTTAAATTATTCATACAAAATTTGATAATTTTCAGAGTTCTCTAAGTTAGTATCAACTTATATTTAAGTTGGTATCAACTTTATAACTGAAATTGTAAGACCTTGAACAATGTAAAAGAATTGTTACTAGGTAGGATGTTATTCAAAAAATTCATTTTAATGTGTTAGGTACAATAAAATACACAAATGTAATAAATTATATATTTTGCCAATGATTTTATGAATATTATGTTGTGATGGAAGTCTAAATAGTATTTTTAATGTGTTAATATCTTTATTTAACTAAAAGTGAATATTGATCTATTTTTGAAAGTAAAGGATAATTTCAAATAAAGCAGTTAAATGTGGGTTATCATTTGTTTATTGACACTTTAAGATTAGTATTATTTTGTAAAGCATTTTATTCTATATGATTTATTTTTTCTTTTGCAGAAACCTGTGTTTTTGCATATCTTGGCTTGGCAATATTTAGTTTTCGTCTAATTATCAAACCTTCCCTAGTAGTTTGGAGTATAGTAAGTTTTCTTTTTTATAGTTTATTTTACTCTTTTTAAAATTGACTGAAAAATATAAAGTCTGTTAAATGGAAGTGTTTTTTTTTTTTTTTTTTTTTTTTTAAATTTTGATTGTAAAAAATTCAGTTATTGAAACAAAAAAAAATTATCCATGTTTATTTCAGGTGTTGTAAGAATATTGCATTTTTAGACAAAATATTTGTGAAAATCACATATTGGACAAAAATAAAATTCAGAAGAATAGAGAAAAATTACCACTGTTACTTTAACCGTGAGCACGCACGCTGGGTTCAGTGGACCCACCTGATTCAAGAAACCTTTCTGAAAACGCACCTATTTTCCCCAAGTGGTTGTAAATTGTAGTCTCCTCGAAAACCATATTCTTTATGTTTCCGAAGTTTTTTGCCGGAAATTTGATTCAAAGTTTCGTTTTAGTCGGATCGCTCTTTCAGACTCAGCGTGCCTTTTCGCATTGCTGTAGCGTAGTTCATTTGTGATAGAACAGAAAACTGCAAACATATCGTGCAATTTATCCTATAAGGAAGAAATGTTATGTTTGCAAAAATTATTAGATGTATCAACTGTTGAAGACTCCATTGAAGAAACTGATGATGAAGGTTAGAATGAATTTTTTAGTTCTCATGATACTGACTCAGAAATCGAGATGCATTCTGTAAACGAAAATGGGAATAACATTTATTGCTTTATTGGAAAAGACAAAAAAACCTAATGGTAAAAAAAAGCCTAAAGCTGATGTTAGAACTCCCACGCATAATATTACTAAATTGTCCGGAAATATCAGTAAGGCAAAATATGTGTAGATTCCAAATGAATCGTGGGTACTTTTACTAAGTGAACAAATGTTGTTGAAAGTAGTCAGTTCAAAAAAGTATTTATATTGCATCTATTTCTAACAGTTTTGAAAGAGAGAGAAACGCTTGTCACACAACTCTAATTGAAATTTGTGCTTTATTTTTGTGACCTAAGTCATCTCATGTAACTGTGTGGGATCTGTGGGCAACAGACGGAACCAGCTAGGAAATTTGTTGACAAAACTATGTCCTACAAATGTTTTCTTTTTTTATCAATTTGTTTGCATTTTGATGACATAGGAACTCGCGTCGTCAAGAAAGAATCAGATAAACTTTCACATATAAGAGATTTTTGAAGATTTTGTGAATAACTGCTGTAAATATTACACTGTCCGTGAATTCATAACATTTGATGAAAAATTTGAAGCTTCCCAAGGAAGATGTTCTTTCAGGCAGTATATTCCTGATAAACATGAATAATAGTTTCTGAAAAACCTGAATAATAATATAATAAATTCCTAATAAATTCTATATTAATATAATATATTTTTCTATTCCTTTAAAAATATTTTATTTCATAAAAAATATTATGGAAATTAAAATTAAAATTTTAATTTTTATAGTTTGCATATTTTTAAAGTTTGATCATAAAATTTTGGCATAAATGTAGCACTTTTACCTAAAGAGTAACAGTTTATACATCAAAAAACGTGAGCCAGGTCTTTTTGCTCCAGGACGCGCATGCTCCTAGCTTAATGTTCTTTTGCTTTTGCATACATGCTAAGTACAAGTAATAAACACCTTTGACAGTGATTACTTTGTAAATGTTACATATCTTGAAATTCCCAGGTGCAGTGTAAATATTTGAATTCATTAAAATATTTTTCAAGAGGCAACACAATAATTCCCTGCATCTTGAATAATGCAAAAACATAAACTTGATTTGGTATCATGACTTTAGAATATTTTCTATTTATAATATTATCATCAAGAACTACTACAAGAGTCTGTTTGACTAATGCATGCCATCTAAACAAAAATTGAAAACCTTTGCTGCTCTTGAACAAAGCTCAGATTGCATAAATTTACGATTGTTAGAGAAAAACTGAATCTGAATGTGGGGGTTTTAATTTTTGAATTTAATGGTTAAAAATATTTTTCTTCTTTGCGTGCCACCTATTTTTCTCTTGCGTACTACCGGTTGATAACCTCTGCTATAGAGTCTTTAATGTTTAGAGAGCCAGTGACATACAGTCAAATTTGTTAATCCGGACTCGTCGGGACTTCGGCGATTCCGGAATATCGATTTTTCCGGATTATAGATCATCAGTTTAAATCTGGTAAGATGGCATGCAGAAATTATAAAATTAAAAAATATGAAACCGTAATTTATGAAATAAAGAACAATTATGATCTAAAGGGTATATCAAAATTTACAAAAAAAAAAAAGAAGCTTAATATTTATTTGTTTACTTTATTAAACATTTCTTTCAATGTAAGTTGTTTAAGTTGCTTCGTTTTTTATGTGATAATACATTTTCTTTAAGTCTTTAAACAGACATAATTTCTTGTTCAGTTACAAAGTTCCGCTGTTCAAGCCCTATAATTGCTGTGTCGAGAATACCGACTAATTTGTCAATTGAAATTTTTTCATTTTCAATAACCTCTGTTACTTTCTTCGCTATCGGAAGCGAATTATAATGATGAGGAATTTGATTTAAATCATATCAAAGATGGAGTACATCGAGATGAAATACTACATTTAATAAGGAATTATAAGCCAAATAAAATAAAAACATCTGCTCTGAAGATAAGGATAGTGCTGACAGATCAACTTCCAATTCATAGCGCGGCGCCGCGGCGTTAAAGATAAACAAAGATATGCTTTTATCCATTTTTTGTAGCAATTCCACTTTTTGTTTAATGAACTTCGAAACATACTTTCGCTTTGTAGATCATTTACATATTATTAAATATATATCAGAAATTCTATTTGTCATAATCGAAAGTTCAAGCTTACTTTTTTATAAAATTGCTCTAACAGTCTGCAAAAAATAATAAGCCGGATCCAATTCGAAGATTAAGGAACAACGCAATCTGCAACATTAACTGAAATAGATAATTAAATAATTTTAGCTTAGCTTATACCGTCCGTTATACATTAAACGCGCACTCGTAAACGTATTTTGCGCACGCGCACAAGCATATTCTCAGCCGTAAAGGCCTTACGCGCATGTGTCAACGCGACGCATGCGCAGAAAGTTTGAAGCTTTGAGATCCGGATTTTAGATCATTCCGGATTATGGGTGTCCGAATTAACGACTTTTGACTGTACTAAGAAATGAAATTGTTCCTAGCAGATACGTTGGCTTGTTGTCAGTTTGTGAAGGGATCTTGTGATGGGAGATAAGTCCTTCACAAATCTCCTACAGTAGTAGCAAAGCCCTGCAAACGTCTCAGCTGATGGATATTTCGGGGTGTATCCAATCTTTAGTTGCTGATACTTTTTCTGAACCATAAACATACCTTTGGCAGAGATTGCCTGTCACTTCTATCTATAAGATTCTATCTATTCTATAAGTCACTTTCTATCTGAACAAACTCTTTTTAGATTGTCTTCCTTCAATTTTTGAAGCACCTTCCTAATATTTTGTAAATGTTCTTCAAAACTCTTCCTAATGATGATGATGCCATCCATGTATATCCGGAAAGCTTCATTGGAAAGATCTCTCAGTATGGTCTCTAAAATGCGTGGAATGTAGCCAGTGCACTACTTAATGCAAATGGCATCACCTTGAAGTGATCAAGTCCTTGTCCAATATAAATGCTGTCTTTTCTTCTTCATCAGAGTATATCTCTACTTGCCAGTATCCACTCTTTAAATGAAGTGTCAGAAACCACTTGCTTCTAGAATGAGTGTTCAGAATATCATCAATTCTAGGAAGAGGGTAGCTGTCTTTCTTTATGATATTCAATTGGTGGTGGTCAACACAAAATCTTGTGGAAACAATTTTCTTTCTGATGGGAGAGGCCCAAGAACTTGTTGAGGGCTCAATAATGTCACTTGCTTGCAAATCCTTTAGAAGTTTTCCTACCTCTTCCTGTTTAGCAATCAGTAGATGGCTTGCATTTGCTTGATTGATGGATGATCCTCCTGTATCAATTTTATGCTGTGCTAAATTGGTTCGACGTACATTGGAAGATGAGTGGGAGAAAATATCTTGAAATTCTTGAATGACACATTCTGCAGTGCCTCAGTCTTTGTCACTTAGTTGTACATTCTTCAGCAACTCTGATATTAGGGTCTCTGAAGACACAGAGAATGCAGGACTACTGATTTGTTTAATGCAGTTCACCGGAATACATGCTGCAACCATGTTGCCTTTTGTAATGACTTTCGCTTTATCAATTACACCTCTTACTAAAGTAATGGTCCTTGATAGCTCAATGAATGCCAAGATTACTAGTGTTCCTTTTTGGGCTGGTAGAGTTCTTAAGATATTCTGCTGTGCCATGCCAGAAATTTTGGTTTTCAGCTATGGATCCAGGTAGTAAAAATTCTGTTCTTTCTGGTACTGTGATACTGTCATGAGTTATTATTTGTGGACAGGTTTAACTCCTTCATCTTTAATTCTGAACAGAGTTATGCCATTAGAGGCAGAATGCAGCTTTAATAGTTTATAATTCAAAGTTAAAATTTTATTTCTTTAGAAAGCCTGATCCAGGTATGCAAGGGTCTGTAGTATTTGTCACATAAGCCATGTGATGGTAGACAGCATTTTCAAATGTGATGTTAACATTTAACTTTCCATCAATGTCTATTTCATCATCAGTCATAATCTGAAGGGTAATGCAGGGTGGTATCCAGGTGAGTATACCTTCCAGTTATTGATCCAAATTTTTTCAGATGAAGGTAACAACGACTCCTGTATTGAAGGTTGTATTTCAAGGAAATCCATTTATTGGTTCTATGTTGAAGAGTCCATTACTGCTGCCAGTCATTGCCAAAAGTCTCAAGGGCTTTAAAATGGAGCTTTCCAGTATCTGGCAACTTCTGTCCCATGAGATGGCTATTAAGTAATTTCCCTCTTCTTTGTGGGAGTGGTCTTAGTTCACGTTTCTTGGAGTGTTCTGTGGTTCAGTCGTATGTGTCCCTTACTACTGCAGTTACAGCACTTAAGGCTCAGT